ATTTGATTTTTGAAATCTTCATCTTTGCCTAAGGCATCACTTTGTGCCAAACTCTGAGATACCAGCCTTTGTCAAACACACCTGGATCCCTGGGTACCCAGACGTGGACAATCTAGAGTAAGAACTTACCTTTTCCCCAGCTGAGTATCTTTAGTCTTAGATGGTCATCCAGAGAAATTAAATGACCTACCCAATGTCACACTATAAACCAGTGGAAGAAACAGTGATAAAGATAGCTACTGTTATCATGTGCCAGGGACAGTGCTAGCGGATTTCTGTGCTTTACCTTGTTAAACATGACATCATTCATACCTTTACAATGGCTCTAATATCATCCCCATTTTTCCGACGAGGAAACAGGTTAAGAGAGGTGAATCACCTGCCCAAGTATACACAGCCTGTAAGTGAGTAGAAAGGGATTTGAGCCCACAGAGTCTGATGACAGAGTCCATACCCATAACTGCTTTAATCAAGAGAGTTTGTGAGTTGCCTAGGTCCCAAGAAAGGAAAACCAACTGATTTGGCTGGGCAGGGCCCTGAGGGAGAGGGAGAGAAAACACTCTGACTCCTTCTCCCATTTTCCATTCTTTTTCTGGAAGGTAATTGCTTGGGGCAGTGACAACCTCCTGGTGAATTACACAGCTGGTTTCCCAGTGAGATTTGTAACAACAACCCCGCCAGCCTGGCAGCCCCCAGCAAGTTCCGGTTTAAGAAACGAATTGCTGGATTGTGTAGTTGGTGCTAAATTGGGTAATTTCTTGGTGACGGCATCTGTGCCATTTCTTCCATTCCCGGATAGATTCGAGCTGCATCAGAGATGAATTTGTCACACACGGCACCCTCCCAGACTCCACTCTCCACTTTCCAGCCAGCCATAGGTTACTGCAAAAGTGGCTGCTTCCCTCGGCCCCCAGGTTCACAATCTGGGCAGCTCTCGGTGTCCTGGGATAGTGGTTGGATGACTTGGTGCAATAAAAATGGGAAAATAACACCAGCACCCAGAATTGTCACAGGACTTCAGGGAGCATCCTTTATTCTATACTAATCTGACCTTGGACTTGGTATAAACTCAGTGCTCACCACACATGGGAAAAGGATAAATCACACTCTGATTAGGTCTGGAAGATATGTATGGATGAGGTCTTTTTATTTGTTTGTGTGCTGTAAGAAAATAGATTCACTTTCATTACTCTGTTCACTTCAGAATGGTATTGAATAAGTTTGACTTCTGTGGGCTGGCAACACAGACAGGAGAAAAGCTAATGCTTTGGAATCGGCCAACACTGGATATGATTTCTGGCTTTGACAGCAGCTCTCAGTGTGACTTTGGGGAGCTCAGTTAGTCTCTCCAAACCTCAGTTTCTTCTTCTGTACACTGGAAGGTGGAGGGGGCGGATAATGTGTATCCCTTGAAACAGTTTTGGGACTCACATAAAATATCATAAATGAAAGGCTCTCGTTTTGTAGACTCACATTCACTCAGCAAATGTCTGCCATATGCTAAGGATTGTTCTAGGGATGGGGAGAATTCAGTGGATAAGATGGATAGAATTCCTGCACTTTTGGGGAGCTAACATTCTAGTGGGAGAGACAGACGATCTAGGAGTCACAGAAATTTAAAATGGTAACAGTATAAGGGACAGGTACATGGTGCCTTGAGAGCAAACAGCAGGGGGATCTGACCTAGTCAGGGAGGCCAGAGAAAGCTTCCCCGAGGAAGCAACAACTGGGCTGAGATCTGAAGGGTGTGTAGGAGTTAACAAGGCAGAGGTGGGTAGGAAAAGCTTTCCCAACAGGGGGAATAGGCCCCGTGATGCGAGGGATCATGGGACTGACAAAAGACTGTCCTGGCTGCTGCAGAGAAAGCAAGGGGAGCATGTTGTGAGAGGATGTTGGAAAAGTAGGAAGGGCCAGACCCTGCGGGCCTTGTTGGACAAGTGAAGGCATTTTATCCTAAGGACATCAATCAGCCAGTGAAGAGTTTTAAGCAAAGGCGTGACATGATCAGATTTGCATTTCCAAATGGCCATTTGGATTGGAGCAGGGTAAGAATGGAAGCAGGGAGACCAGTTAGGAGAAGATGTGCAGACATGCAGGCAGGAGATGGTGTTCTCAGGGACAGTTGGATTCATTAGCAGTGCGTTCTGCTGCAAATATTACAGGAAATCTGGCCAACAGTGGTTTAAATAAAGAGCGCACTCCTTATCACATGTAGACCTGGAGTAAAGCAACTGTTCATGTAGGTTCCATGGCCTGATGATGCCAGGACTGACATCTCTGCAGTTCTCTAGGCCTTTTGTTGTGGCAAGATAGCGGTCCTAGCTCTGGCCATCATGGTTATAGTCAAGCCAAAATGGAGGGGACGAAAGATGGCCCTAGCAAGTCCTACCCCTTTGGTCACAAAGGCAAAATCTTTCCCAGAAACCTTCATCATATTTCCATGTATATATCACTAGCCAAAATGAAATCGCGTGGCCTCTAGTTACAAAAGAGGTTGGGATAAGGACAAGGAGGTTGGGAATGAGTTTTAGCGAGTCAGCTGACAATGATTTGATGGACATGGAAATAAATGGGCACATCTGTTTTTTGGGAAGCAAAATCCATAGGACATGGTGATAGATTGAATTACTAGTCCCTTCCTCACTTGTTTTTCCCTCCCATTGATTTTGTTTAGTAATGGAGTGAAGGCAGGTAGTGTGGGGGGACGAAGGCAGGTGGTATGGTGAGACGAATGTGATCATAAAGCATAACATATAGGAGGAACCCAGTTGTTAATTAAATATTTTCTTTAGAAAAATCCATAAATTGGATATCTCCTGCTCCGAGTAATTTGGATTTGATTATATTATTTACTATTTGGACATTGGGGATTTTGGAAATCCAAAAGAAAGGCTTCTCATGAAGGATTACATTGTATAATCTTTTAGAGTTTGTAAGAGTTATTGTATTATTTGATATCCATTAAAAGTCCTGGGAGATATGTGAGCAGGTATCCTGAGGCTTAGGGAGGGTAGGCCACCTCTGGTGTGTCAGGTGTCACATACATTCTGATCTCAGGACCTGTGCTTTTTCCACTAAACAGAGCTTCCCTGCAGGACCTGGGTAAAGGAGTTGAGGGTTGGTCTGTCTGGAAAAGGCAGCAACTACTGGGCCCATCTTCTCCAAGACAAGAGCAAGGAGAATGTGGATTGATGCCAAAGGGCCTGAAGTTTGATAAGACCTTGGTGAAAGCTGAGTGGCTTGCCAGCAGCACCTGTGTGAAGCAGGAGACAGAGGGGCACCTAGGAATGTCCACCACTGGGAAGTTCTGTGAGGCTCCAGCTTGACGTCACCACACACAGAACAAATGGGACAGTCTGGGTTTCTGCCAAAGTGGCCTTTTGTGCTGTGAGTCTCAGATATAGGTCCTGCCTGGGGCAGGAAGAGGGAAGAGAATGACATGGATGAAGGGCCAGGCTACCCTTCTGCTTTCTTTTCAAGGCAGAGAGATGCTTCCAGGTGCTTTTCCAACAACTGCTTGAAAGGCCATCTTGATCTGAAATTCCCCGTTTCCCCAAAGAAGGGCAATGGAGGAGAATTGTCATCCAGAGCCAGGCAGTTGGTATCCATCAGGTCACCCCAGTCTTCCTTCAGGCAGGGTAACCAACAGCTTCCACAGTCCAGGTTCCAGGGTGGGCCAGGGCTGGCCATGTCTCACCCTGTCCTCTATGGAAGATTCTCAGGAAACCACAATCTTCTTCATTGTCTCACATCCTTCAGGGTCAGGAAGTTCTTCCTGATGTCTGACTGTGCTTCTTCCACTACTATTAATCACGCTTGCAAAGCTAGCTGTTCTTCCTGATGTCCCTGTGTCTAATAATGGCATCATTAGTCTTCCAGTCACGGCTGCTGCAAACTTCAGAGTCATCTTCCTTTTTGATTTTCTCTCTCCTATTCCCACTATTTGCCATTCCCTGTCTGTCAGAACTCTCCGAGCCCACCCCTTAGAATTCCCTGTTTGCACACTTCTTCTGCCTGTGCTTGCTGTTTCCTCACAGGCTAGGTTCTCTTCCCCACCACCTATGTGTGTGGGACACACAGACGTCTTGTACTCCATCACAAACACCGTCTCCTCTGAGAAGTCTTCCTTGAGTGCCCTCTATTGAATCTGATCCTGTCTTCATCTGAAGTAGATCAACATTTTGGTACCTCTTTCCGGCACAGTCATTTATTCGTCTACTTAGTGAATGCTTATTAAGGACTGGCTCTGGGCAAAGCCCTGAGTTAGGTGCTGGAGATCCAGAGATGAATAGGATTTGGTTTCTATCCTGCAGAAGACCACATTCTAGGTGGGGAGATAGAAACCGAAACAGACATTTTCAATGCAGTATGATAGCTGCTTTCATGGGGACACCCAGGGTGTTATAAAAGCCCAATAAAGAGCATAGCCTAGAATAAGAGCACAGAAAGTCTTCAAGGGAAGGTGGGGCTTAATATGAGTAAGTGTTAGCTGGGGGGAGGGCTTTGAGGTGGATGAAAGGACATTCTAGGAGGAGGGAACATTTTGTTCAAAAATAAAGTGGCCTGTAATAACTCTGTCACGTGAGAGGTTGTTCCCCTGTTAAGCTACAAACCCCTCGAGGACAGGGACCACTCTTAAATCACCTCTATACACTTCTCATTCTCTTGCTTATGGTAGCTGCTCAACAAATGTTTGTGGAGTGGAATCATATTTGAGGGCAATGGAAAAAAAAAAAAATGCAGTGGCTCAGCACCATGGACAGATCCCACAGACACCTGCAGTTGGAGGTAGTCCAACCTGTACGCACATTTGCATGTATTTGCATAATGAAGCCAACCTCATTTCCCTGGGGGTCCAAAGGCTCTGCATCTTAGGGGATCCAATCAGTCCGGGTTTGTGGGGTTGGGAAGGGAAACTGTCAGGGCCAGAGACCAGTCCTCTGAGGACTGAGGGAAAACGTCTGTCCCCTTTTGCTTACCATCCTTTCCTTTTCCATCAGGAGCCAGTGGTCCTGAGCCTTCTGAAGTTAGGATTCTGCCTGGTGGTGGGGATCCTGACATCAAGGATGGGACACCCCGGATGGTGAGTGATAGAAGAGTCTGGGAGACGGGGATTAGACTCAGGTTCTCATACCAGAATAACGGGTTTGATTCTTGATTCAAAGTGACTCATCCACTTACTGGCTTTGTGACCTCACCATTTTGAGCTCAATTTTCTCATGGGTAAGTGTGGATAATATCTACGTCACAAGATTTCAGTGAGATTAGAGAATATCAGGTATGCACAGTACCTGGTATATAGCAAGTGCTTGGGAAATAGTAGGAGATGAGCGGTGAGCAGGATCTGGAAGAAAGGTGGATGTGTGGAGGTGATGGTAGGGAGAAAGAGAATGAGTCTCAGAGGTGCTGCTGTCTGGAGTCTTTGAGGCTGTCATCCCTCCTAGTCAGCAGATGGCCCAGGAGCCTGGTCGAGGATGAGGGAGGGCACCGTCTGCCAGCTCCTCTGTCCCTGTCCCTCCTGCTGTCACTCCCTCCTGCTGTAGCTCCTGTCCTGGCAGCTCCTGGAGTCCTGATTGGAGGCAGCTCTTGCTGAGAGCTGACCTCTCGGTCCTGTAGCCTTAGCAAGCCTGGGATGGGAGCCAGGAGCACTGGTTCCAGAGTCTTTTCTCCATTGCTTTCCTTCCTTGCCTTCCCTCTGTTCCTGGGAGGAGGAACTCCTGAGTTGCAATCCCTGTTTAGGATTCAGATGCTACTATGTGTAGCTGCTGTTCTTCTTTATGGATTTTCCTCCTTTGTGATTCCCCTCCCGTGGAATGGGAGTGGAGGATGGGGGTAAAAGGCAAAAGGGGAAATTTCACGGGGGGAATATTTGGAACTCAGAAGAGGAACGAGAAAGAGTCATCTCAGGTTCTCCTTCTTATTTCAGTCCGCAGGGGAGGGAGAATGAGCCTACAGCCAGATGGAATGCACAGGATGTGGAAGGAAGGGGAGGGATTTTTCTGCGGGATGGTGCTGGATATGTAGATTTGGGTCCAGTGTTCTCTTTCTTCATAGCAGCTGGGAGCTGTGACCCTGAGGCCTGGCTCTTGCAACAGTGGGGTGTAGAGCAGCATTGGGGTAGAGATGTGGCTGTGAATCTATTTGCCTAATGCCAGCTTGTGAAAAGCTAGTTCACCTAAAGACTGGTTTCTTTGAATATTTTATGTTTTCTTGGGTATCCTTTTGTTTCTGGTAATCTAAGGATATACACACCCCAAAGTATACATATATTTTTATACATAAATGTTCATATATTTATATATATATGTATATATAAATATTTCTATGTATATACAAATATATATGCATTTATAAATATTTATTAATATACATTTACAAATATAAACATAAATATATATAAATTTAGAGGCCAGGTCTCACTCTGTTGCCTCGGCTGGAGTGCAATGGTATAAAACAATCATACTTCACTACCGCTCTGAGCTCTTGTGCTCAAGTGATCCTCCCTCCTCAGCTTTCCAAGTAGCTAGAACTACAGGCATGTGCCACCACATCTGGCTAATTGAAAAAAATTTTTTGTGGAGACGGGGTCTTGCTCGGTTGCCCAGGTTTGATCTCGAACACTTGGGCTCACGTGATCCTCCTGTATTGGCCTTCCAAAGTGCTGGAAATACAGGCGTGAATCACTGTGCCCAGTCTCTAAGAACATTAAAAAACCCATTTGATTGAGGGAATATCCTCTCGTGAATAAGTATTTATCAGATTTGCACCATTCGTTGAATGATGGGATTAGTTTGCGCCCTTGAGTGTCTTTGTCTATTATGACTGTTTAAAGGAATTTTTAGCCCATTTGTGGGAGGATAGTACAATTAATCATAATAAATTGACATGTATTACCTAAAGGGATATAAGAATGCCTAATAAAAGATGGTTTTAGGTGAAGGGGGCTGTTCAATTCACACACCTTTTCTCCCTATTTTTCTAGGAGGTTCCTGGGGCCTGGCCCCCAAGACTATGAAGAGCCTTTGCTGAGGCCATGAGGGGTTACCATGGCGACCGAGGCAGCCATCCCCGCCCAGCCCGCTTTGCTGACCAGCAGCATATGGACGTGGGCCCAGCTGCCAGGGCCCCATACCTGTTGGGCTCCAGGGAGGCCTTCTCCACTGAGCCCCGCTTCTGTGCCCCGAGAGCTGGCCTGGGACACATTTCTCCTGAAGGGCCCCTGAGCCTGAGTGAAGGGCCATCGGTAGGCCCTGAGGGAGGGCCAGGGGGGGCTGGGGTTGGGGGGGGGAGCAGCACCTTCCCCAGGATGTACCCTGGCCAAGGCCCCTTCGACACCTGTGAAGACTGTGTGGGCCACCCACAGGGCAAGGGTGCCCCCCGCCTGCCTCCCACACTCCTGGATCAGTTTGAAAAGCAGTTGCCAGTTCAACAAGATGGCTTCCACACGCTACCATACCAGCGAGGGCCAGCAGGGGCGGGGCCCGGGCCAGCACCAGGGACTGGCACTGCCCCAGAGCCCCGCAGCGAGAGCCCTAGCCGCATCCGGCACCTGGTTCACTCTGTGCAGAAGCTCTTTGCCAAGTCCCACTCTCTGGAGGCGCCAGGGAAGCGGGACTATAACGGGCCCAAAGCTGAGGGAAGAGGTGGCTCTGGAGGAGACAGCTACCCTGGCCCGGGTTCCGGAGGCCCCCACACCTCCCACCACCACCATCACCACCACCATCATCACCACCACCAGTCCCGGCACGGCAAGAGGAGCAAGAGCAAGGACCGCAAGGGGGATGGGCGGCACCAGGCCAAGTCCACAGGCTGGTGGAGCTCCGATGACAACTTGGACAGTGACAGCGGCTTCCTGGCGGGTGGGAGGCCCCCTGGGGAGCCTGGTGGTCCCTTCTGCCTGGAGGCTCCAGATGGGTCCTACCGGGACTTGAGCTTCAAGGGGCGCTCGGGCGGGTCAGAAGGCCGCTGCCTTGCCTGCACTGGCATGTCCATGTCACTGGATGGACAGTCGGTCAAGCGAAGTGCCTGGCATACCATGATGGTCAGCCAGGGCCGGGATGGATACCCGGGGGCTGGGCCAGGTAAAGGGCTCCTGGGTCCGGAGACCAAGGCCAAAGCCAGGACTTATCACTATCTGCAGGTGAGGCTTTTTTGGGGTTGGGGAACAGGGTCCTCGACCTTCACCAGTCTTGTCAACCAGGGAGCAGTGGGAAGGGTTGGGTGGAAGCCAGTTGTCCCTGTGATGGAGGGCCTGGATGCAGGGAGGCTCTGGTCTGCCCCACTGGATCACCCTGACCTCCTTTGGGGCTTCACTTTTCCCGTTTGTGCAATGAAGGGGCCCTTCTATTCTAATGATGTGTCAATGCCTGGAAGACCTCCCCTTGACCTACTGTTTTGGACAGACTGTGCTGATCTCTGTTTTGGGGGGTTGGAGGCATAATGAAGTTGAGGGCATGCGGTGAACAGGATGGTGAGGTACAGCTTAGCTGTAGCTGCTCTCAATACTGAAGGTTGGCAGTTGCCAAGCAGTTCTCCTGCCCCAAAGCCTTTTCCAGCCCTCTTTTCTGCTGTAATCCGGGTAGCCCACATGTTTGAATATGAAGATCAGTTATTTCCAGAATGTGCCTCTGTTGAGGTTTGTCATTCCGGGGTACCTGTGGTGGGACAGCCGAGTCTGTAGAGGAGTCCTGGGAGCCTGTCTTATGTGTTTTCCTAGACTAGGGGACAAACTGGGTTTCAGCCCTTTCAGGTGGGGCCTCCTGGGAGTGGATGGTGCAGGCAATAGCTGGCATGCTGTTCTCGTTCTGTCTTACCACCTCTATGGTCTCTGCAGATGAGGCCAGAGCTCTGATTCTTACTTGTTATGAAGCCTTCATCCCAGCCTCATCCAGCCCACATTGTTTTCTTGAGCCCTGCTATAATTTTAGGAGGAAAAGTCAATATGCATTTTGAAGGTCCAGTGTATTTCCGCATTTCACATAGTTGATACTGATCTGTTTATTCAATGAGCATTTCCTGGATGCTGTGGATACAAAGATGAAGACAGATGCTGCTTGTGAGGAGTTCACAGTTTAGAGGGCGAATAGACAAGGAAGCAGATAGAATGTAGTGTGTGATGAGGCTGAGATATGATAGAGCCCGGGGAATCTTGGGAACATAGAGGAGACACCTCACCAACCTGGCGAGGCATGTCCCCTGAGCTGAATCTCAATGGAGGAGTTGGAGTTGTTGGGTGCCGGCTAAATGTGTTCTGGGAAGAGATTATATAGCATGTTCAAAGGTGTGGAGAATAGAGGCTGCGTGTGTCTTTGGGGGACATTGGCATTGCTGGGTAAGTTGTGCACAAGTTAGGGCTTTCCTGGATAACTCGTGAAAGCCCAAGGGAGCATATAGGGCCACAGTGCAAGCAAGAAGGGACTTTTGGAATCAGGACCCTGATTTGCCCCCTCCCTGGGTAGGGAGGTGCTCTAAGCTAGGAACTGAAGGGTCCAGGCAGGGAACACCCATCCATTCTCCCCCACAGCCAATTCCTTGCCATCCCCGAAGACTTGCTGCCATTTCGCTGCTCCCTGCTGCTTCTCCAGGGCTGCCCTGACCTCCCTGGGGGCTTCCTTTTTAACATGCACCTCACAGTGTCCTGCAGAGGAGCGAGGAGCTCTGCAGTGGCTACAGTGTGGGAACCCTGCAGTGTGGCCTTCCCATCTGCTGGCCTGCCTCTCTCCACCTGCCTGCTGCTCCTCTCTGTAGAGAATGGGGAAGGGAAATGATCCTTCTGGTCTGGAGTTCCAGGGCATCTGAGGGCTGGGAAGTCTGAGCCCATGTGGAGAAGAACCAAGGGGCTACAGGGACCCTACAGACAGCATCATGCTCCCCGGCACAAAAACAGGGGAGGCTAGCCCCATGTGGCCAGGCGTCTTTGTTGGACCCCCAATCTGATTGTTGAAGCCCTGTTTCTCCCACTGGATACCAGCTTTCTCTTAACCCTCTTCCAGAATCCCTCTGTCCACTCTGAGCCCCTGTTTGTTTATGGAGTCTCATCTCTTTGTGTTCCCGTCTTCTGATTGAGCCCTAGCCCCTCGAAGAGCCCTGCTCCTCCCCATGGGTTCCTTCAAGAGACCCCATCTCATCCCCAGAGTCTCCACCTTTCCCCTGAACCCTATGCTCTCCCTGAGGTATGACCCCTTTTGGAGCTCCCATCCCTACCCCATTTAACCTGTTCTTTACAACGAGTGTTTTAAACCTTCCCTACCTCCCCCGGTCCTCTCCCCCACATCTTCACTTACACCTCATTTTCCAAAGTGTAGGCTGACATCATGGACTCCCTCAGCTTCCTGTCAGCATCTCTGTAGATGCATCCAGATTTCCAGCCACCCTCATCCCCTTCCTTGGCTCACAGGAAAAGCTGGGACCACCCATCCCAGGCTGATCCATCCTCCAGGGCTCGAGCCCATCTCCTCATGACCCCCTTCATCCCTGAACGGCTCCCCTCCCTCTGAGATTTAAAGACTATCTTTACTGGCTGTTTCCATCATCCTGAAAACATGTCCAATGTCACTTGCATCCTAAAAAATATTTCTGCAGCCCCATCCCACCTTCCATGTCCTTCGTAATCGAGTTCTTAGAGCATACACACCTGTCCTTCACTTCAGTTCTCTCCTCACTGTGGTCTGACTTCCACGCTCCCTGTCATTGAAACGCCCTGGCATGGCCACAGATGATCTCTTGAGGGCTGTCCTCAAAAGGTACTTTTTGGTGCTTATATTAATTGTTACCATTTATTGAGCACTTTCTGTGTCCTGGAAACTCTCTACTAGCTCATTTATCTTTGCCACCAACCCTCCGATGTTGGCATATGTATCATGACCAATTCACCAACAAGGAAAATGACACTTCGAGGTTAATCCGTTTTGCTTAAGTTCACCTAGGCAGCAAGTGATGGGGCCAGCATTGCACATGGATCTTCTAACTCCCGAGCCTGAGTTACTAACCTCTGAACGCACTGTGGCATTTGACATAATCGACTCCTTTTATTCTTGAAATGTCTCCTGTTTCTATGACATGGCATTTTCCTGACTTCCCTCCTACCCCTCTGCCCACTCCTTCTCAGGTGACTTCACAGGCTCCTCTTCCTTTCTTCACAGTCCCTTTTAAAATGTCAGTGGATCTCTGCTCATCTTTCTTCTTCTCTCCCCTGGGCTGTCTCATTCACTGCTATGGATTCAGCTGCCGCCCATGACTCCCACATGCCCGCCTCCAGCCCTGATCTCCCCACTGAATCCCAGAGCCAGACATCCAACCACCTGCTCAACAGTGCTATGCCAAGCTCAAGGTGCTCAACCTGACCCTATCACCTTTCCCTAGACTTGTTTCTCTGGGGTTCTATGGCTCAGTGAGCGGCAGCACCCTCCTCCAGGTCCTCAGCCAGCAGCCTGGCACTCTTCCTCGACTCCACCCGCCCCCTCATACCCCACGTCTAATCAGGCTCACTGATGCTCCTTAACACCTCTCATTTCCATCTCCTCCTCTTCCCCCTCATTGTCATTGTCTTAATTTAGGCCTCATCGTCTCTTGCCTGGATAACAGCATCAGCCTCCTAATTGGTCTTCCTCTCGCCACTTGAGCCTCTGCCCTGCTCCTGGCCCTCCACAATCCAGCCTCTGTTTGGACTGTGGGAGAGCTCTTTCTGCAACACAAATCTGATGTCACTCCCCTGCATGAAGCCCTCTGTGGCTCCCCACAGCGGGGAAGAGGAGAGGATTTGGAATGTAAGCAGGTTGAAAGGATGAAGGAGAAGGAGGGGTAGAAGGTTGACTGAGGTCAGGTGATGCCTCACTGCCGGGCGTGGGATTGACACAGGTCACTTTGGCCTTTGATCTTCAACTGCTTGACGCCTGGCATGCCACTCCCTCAGACTCTCTGGGTGGCCCTTAATTAAGTGCAGAAGGTCTGTGGAGGATGACGAGGTGTCTCTTGTAAGGGAGGGGGACAGCCTGAGACCCTACCTCCCCTTCTGCCTCTGCATGTACCTGAGTGTGCCTGCTCAAGCCAGGGCAGAGCACCTCCCACTGGCAGTGGGGAAAGAGTCCTGGCCTCTAGATTTACTAGGGTCATGTCTGAGAGACAGAGGCCCCTGTCCCTGCAGGTGCCGCAAGATGACTGGGGGGGTTACCCCACTGGTGGCAAGGATGGGGAGATCCCCTGCCGCAGGATGCGGAGCGGCAGCTACATCAAAGCCATGGGGGATGAGGAGAGCGGAGACTCCGATGGCAGCCCCAAGACATCTCCCAAAGCAGTCGCCCGACGCTTCACCACCCGTCGCTCCTCCAGCGTGGACCAGGCCAGGATCAAGTAAGGACAGGGAGGGCTGGGCGGCGGTGTGGGGTCGGGAGGCTGACGTGGGATTTCTGTGGGAGGTGTGTGTAGAGTGGGTGCCAGTCAGGTAGCCTGCTTAGGGTTCAACTGGGGTGTCTCATTCCACTCCATGTAAAGGGAGGGCCTTGGTGAGAGTCCCCCTCTGGTGCCTAGTTGGAGGAGTCTCTCTACCCAGGGTCTCCTAAGGGATCTCTCTTTGGGGGTTCTGAGGGATAGGACTTGCTCAGGGGCCCCCGTGCTTTCATCTCCCCTCTCCCACCTCCTAGCAGTCCACTGTTGTGACTCTGGGATTTTGGCCTTTTCCAGCTGCTGTGTCCCACCCCGGATCCACCCCCGGAGCTCCATCCCTGGCTACAGCCGTTCCCTCACCACCGGACAGGTAGGGAAAGGCCCAGTATGCCTGGAGGAAAGAGTGAAAAGGGGATTCAATCCCAAGCTCAGCCGAGGCCTTAAAATCAGAGGGTCTGCCCATGGAGAGAGCTCAGGCCTGGCTCTGGGGAAGCTGGGAAACCTGCCCTAGGACTCCTGGAGCTGACTCAGGCTGGGAATCTCAGAGAATCACAGCCTTAAAACCCACCAAGTGTCCTCAAAGTGATGAGCTTGTAAGGGCAACGCCTATGCACTGGGGCTCTCCATTGCTCATTGCTCCCACCCTGCCCCCACATAAAAGGTAGGATTGATTTGTACAGACAGGGCACAGGCCACACTGCAGTCTCAGAGATGATCTGGGCCTGAATTCTGCCGCCCTGCCCTCTATCCTGTAGAACCACCAGCAAGAGACTTTACTTTTCAACACCTCTGTTTCTCATCTTTAAAATGGCAATGGTAGGGACAGTTATTTCACAGGGGTTTTGTGAGAGTTCAGTGTGAAAACGTATGCAAGCGCCAGGGTACTTGGCCCGAAAATGGCGTTTTATAAATGTGAGTTCCATATCTAAGTGTGGACTTTCCTCTTAATTAGACGGAGGCAGCACTGTTTAGTAATGAAACACATGAGATGGTGTTGAATTCCAGCTTGGCGCCTTACCAGCTGAGTGACCTGGGGCAAGTTACTTGACTTTTTTGAGCCCCATTTTCCCTTTTTAAAAATAGGCATCATAATAGTGTTCTTGGCACATTGCCAGCACTCAATAAAGGTTAGCTATTTTTACTGTATGCTGGGGAAAATGCAATGCAAAAGACTGTCCACATTGACTCCCATTGTTCACTGCTGCAGTCTCTCAGTATTTCTTTGCTACATTGCCCGAACTGGGGAATCTGATTGGCGCAACTCTCTTTTCGCATCAGACCAGCCTCTGTTGCTACACCCACGAGTTAATGCTTAGCCTTCATTTTACTTGACCCATCAGCAACATCTAACAAAGTTGAAGATTCCCTCCTTCCTGAAACACTTTACTAGGTTGGCTTAGAGGACACCAAAAGCTCTACATTCTCCTAGATTCTCTCCCTGGCTGCTTATCCTGTCTGTGTCTTGGGTGTCTCTATAATTCCCCAGGATCTAGACACTGGAGCTTTTGAGGGCTCAGTCCCTGGACCTCTCTTTATACCTGCTTCTTGGGTGATCTTGTCTGGGCTTATGGCTGAGGGCCTGATGACTACCAAATATGTATCTCCAGCCCAGACTCTCCCATAAAGGCCAGGCATGTATGTCTAACTGTATTGAAATCTCATTTGGATGTCTAGTAGACATCTCAAACTTAAGATGTCCAAAACGAAACTGCTGATATACACCCCTTCCCCAATGCCCTCCCCCCGCCACTGCCCCAATTGCTGCTCTATCCTCTGAATTCTCCATTTTAGAGAATGACAACTTTATCCTTCTAGAAGCTCTGGTTTAAAAGCCTGAAGTCAGTCTTGACCACCTTCTCTCTCTCACAACTCACCTCCAGTCCTTCAGCTGATCCTGCTGGCCCCACCTTTAGAATATGTCCACGATCGAACAACCACTCCTCACCACCTCCACTGCCACCGGTTCCTCCAGGCACCATGTCATTTTGTCTGGACAATGGCACTGCCTTCTAGTCGGTCTCCTGCATTTGCTCTTGCTCCCCTTCACCCTCTCATTACAGCCTGCTCGATCTTTAAAAGATATAATCACATTGACTCACTCTTCTGCTCAAAACCCTCACCTTGCTCAGAGTAAACATCAAGAACCTAACCATGACTTTCAAGGCCTGCGTGACCTGATGACCTAGCTGGAGTGGAGCGGCCTCTGAGTTCCTCTCCTAACGCTGCTCCCTTCCCTCCCACTACAGCCACGCTAGGCCCACTCCCTAGGGCCTTTGCATTTGCCACTACCTTTGCCTAGATGTCACCTTCCCAGACACTCCCATGGATCAGTTCCTCACTTCTTTCAGGTCTTTTCCCAAATGCTCTAAAATTTTTTTTTTTTTTTTTTTTTTTTTTTTTGAGACGGAGTTTCGCTCTTGTTACCCAGGCTGGAGTGCAATGGCACGATCTCGGCTCACCGCAACCTCCGCCTCCTGGGTTCAGGCAATTCTCCTGCCTCAGCCTCCTGAGTAGCTGGGATTACAGGCACGCACCACCATGCCCAGCTAATTTTTTTGTATTTTTAGTAGAGACGGGGTTTCACCATGTTGACCAGGATGGTCTCGATCTCTTGACCTCGTGATCCACCCGCCTCGGCCTCCCAAAGTGCTGGGATTACAGGCTTGAGCCACCGCGCCCGGCTAAAATTTTAATTTAATCTCCCTTCCAGCATTTCCTGTCCCCATTCCCAGTGCTGTCATTGTTGAGGTCTCCTCCTCCTTCCTCCTGCCCTTTCTCCTTCTTCTTAGCCCTTTGCACTATCTAACATCACGTATACTTGATATATTTAGCTTCGAGCTATGGCTTATCATCCTTGCTTTATAGAAGATGAAAAAAGTTTAAAGTACTAGAGATGTCACCCTATTATGTCTTGTAATACTTTTTTTCCATATATATATATATATTTTTTTTTTTTTTTAGTATTTAGTCTATTTTTTATTTTGTTTAGTATTTGCCTAGAACACCTTTTTCCATCTTTTGCTTTAAAGCTTTTTGTCTATGTCTCAGTTATATTTAAAAAAAATAGTTTATAGCTAGATTTTACTTAAATCCATTCTGATAATTGCTTGAGAGTTTAGTACATTTATATTTATTGCGGTCACTGATAATCTGTGATTACCCCTCGGCCTAAACCTAGGGTAGTGTGATGATCCTAACTCTAACCTGTGGGTTTATTTCTGTCATCTTATTTTGTGCCTTCTATTTATCTTGCCTTTGGGCTGATGCTTTTCTGCTCCTTTGCTGCCTCCTTTTGGTTTGAGTTTTCTTTATTCTTCTCCCCACCAAATCCCACACTGGTTTAGTAGTTATGTATTCTATTTTATTCTTTACGGTTACCCTTATGATTTTAATATGCATATTTGACTTAATGTCTGAAGCTGCCAGTTTTTTCTGTATTCCTCCTGAACAATGCAGAGACCTTAGGACATTTTGATTTTGATGACCTCTTCCCTTCTTGTTCTTCTTTTTTTTTTGGCAAAAAAAATTTATTTTCTCACAATTTGGTGGCTAGAAATCTGATCAAGGTGTCAGCTGGAGTGGTTTCTACCATTCAGTGACTTGTATTTTTATATTTTTTATGTTGTTGTTTGGAGAACAAAACATTTTAAATTTGATGATGCATAATTCAATTTTTATCTTCTTGATTGTGTTTTGGTGTAAAATTTAAGAAATCTTTGTGTATGCAAGGTCACAAAAATTTAATGTTTCTCCTAAGAATTTTATGGTTTAACATTTATATTTAGATGTATGACCCACTTTGAGTAGTGTGTGTGTGTGTGCACGTGTGTGTGTGTGTGATTCGAGTTAGAGGTCCAGCTTTATCTTTTTGCATGTGGATATCCAATTTTCCCAGCATCGTTTGTTGAAAGGCTTTTCTTTACTCATTGAAATTTCTTGGCCCCTTTTTCAAAATCAGTTTACCATAAATGCATGTGTTTATTAATGAATCTTAAAATTTATTCCAATGATCCGCATGAGCCTGTCTTTATGCTATTGCCACATGCTTTGATTGCTGTAACTATGTAGTAAGAATTGATTTTGGTAAGTTGAAATTATACAATTTTGTTACTCCTTTTAAAGATTGCTTTGTGTTTTGTGCTTCCTTTGCATATACACATGGATTTTGGGTAGGCTTGTTGATTTCTATAAAAAATATAGCTGGGAATTTGAAGGGATTGCTCTGAATGTGTAGATTAATTTATGGGGTATTGTATTCTTAACATGATTAAATATTATTGTTCTTGAATATTGGATGTATTTCCATTTATTCAGTTCCTATTTTATTTCTTTCAGCATTTACTTTACTTTTAATTTTTATTATAAATTGACAAGTTGTAGGTGTATATATTTATGGGGTACAAAGTGATGTTATGATTTATTAATACAATGTGGAATAATTAAATCAAGTGAATTGACATACCCATCACCTCAAATACTTAGGTGATCTTAGGACACCTTAATTTCAATGACTTCTTCCCTTCTTGCATGGACTTATTGCCCAGCATTTTAGATCTACCTTTTAACCTGTCAAATTAGTTTTTATTATTATTGTTACTTTCTATGTTATTAGCTCTTGATTATATATACTCATATCTCTACCTTTTTTACTCCTCACTCTACCTCCTTACATCTCATTATTTCCTCCTAAAGTATATTCTTTAGTAATTTTTTTCAGTGAATATCCGTTAGTAGCAAACTTTGGCTTTAACAGAAAATATATTTTACCCATACTGTTTGATACAGTTTAGCTTATTATGGGAATTCTAGCTCAGCATTTATTTTCTTTCAGTGTTTTGAAGATATTCTTTTGTCACCCGTCTGTTGTTGCTGTTAAGGAGTCGGCTAGCAACTTGATTGTCTTTGTAGGTAGTTTTAATTTCTCACATTTTGCTGTTGAGATCTTGCTTTGATTTTATTGTTCTGCAGTTTCACTATGCTATGTTCATGTGTGTGCTCTACAGATCTGTGGATTCATGTTTTTCATCAATTCGGGAAAATTCTCTCATGTTATAGGTTGCATAGTATATCTTTTCCCCGTTCTTTTACTTTCAACCTGTTAAGGTATGTCTCTTGTAGGCAGCATCTAATGAGTCTTTTTTTTTCTTTGTCTTACCACTCCACCTTTTGAATGAGTATTTCATCCATTCATGTTTTATTTAATTTAATTTATTTAATTTTTTTTGAGGCAGCATCTTGCTCTGTCACCGAAGCTATAATGTAGTGGCATGAACATAGTTCACTGCAGCCTTGACCTCCCAGGCTCAAGCAATCCTCCCACCTCGGTTCCACAACTAGCAGGGACTAGAGACACATGCCACCATGCCCAGT